GAAGAGTGCTCCGATAGAAGAGGATAGGTGTGACTCGCGTATTGAGATGTGACGTAGGGATAAAAAATCCTGAACAGTTTTAATATTTTTAATATTTAATATTTATCAATATATATGATGAACATTTATTTTAGTATGAAGACAGCAAGGCATGCAGTGAAGTAGTTTAACGTAAATCGAAAAGCACCTGAAGATGGCACCTTTGTGCTGAAACATGTAGTGCAGGAGTGAAGAGTGAGATGGATGAGTGTATCCACTGTAAGACAGCTGGAATAAATCATGGAAATTATTGGGGATCATCAGTGTGGGTTTCAATGTAACAGATCAACTACAGATCAGATCTTTTGCATTCGTTAGATATTAGAGAAAAAATGGGAGTACAATGAGACAGTACATCAGCTATTCATACTCTTCAAGAAAGCCTGATTCAGTTAGGAGGGAAGTATTGTACAATATTCTGATGGAGTTTGGGATACCAATGAAACTAGTTAAGTTGATTAAAATGTGTTTAAACGAAACGTATAGTAAAGTCCATGTAGGTAAATATTTGTCTGATAAATTTCCTATCCAGAATGGTCTAAAACAAGGAGATGCTTTATCGCCACTCCTTTTCAACTCTGCTTTAGAACATGCCATTAGGAAGGTCCAGGGAAACCAGGTGGGACCGAAATTAAATGGGACACATCAGCTGTTGGCCTATGCGGATGATATGAATCTACTAGGTGATAATGTAGATACCATAAAGAAAAACACACAAACTTTAATTGACTCAAGTAAAGAGGTTGGTCTAGAAGTAAACAATGAGAAAACTAAGTATATGTTGCTGTCTCATCACCAAAATGCAGGGCAAAATCATGATATAAAGATAGGAAACAGATGTTTGGAAAAAGTGACATATTTCAGATATTTGGGAACGATGATAACAAATCAAAACCTGATTCACGAAGAAATTAAGAGGAGATTGAACTCAGGTAATGCTTGCTACCATTCAGTCCAGAACCTTTTGTCTTCTCGTCTGCTGTCCAAAAACATAAAAATTAGAATATACAAAACTATAATTTTGCCTGTGGTTCTGTATGGGTGTGAAACTTGTTCTCTGATATTAAGGGAGGAACACAGACTGAGGGTGTTTGAGAACAAGGTGTTGAGGAGAACATTTTGACAGAAGAGAGCTGAAGTGACAGGAGGTTGGAGAAAACTGCATAATAAGGAGCTTCATAACTTGTACTCTTCTCCAAGTATAATTAGAATGATCAAGTCAAGGAGGATGAGGTTGGAAGGGCATGTAGCACGAATGGGGGAGACGAGGAATGCGTACAGGATATTCTTGGAAAAGCCAGAAGGAAACAGACCACTGGGAAGACCAAGCCATAGGTGGGTGGACAATATTAAAATGGATCTTAGAGAGATAGGATGGGATGTTATTGATTCGATTGATCTGGCTCAGGATAAGGACCAGGGAAGGGCTCTTGTGAACACAGTGATGAACCTTCAGGTTCTATAAAATGCTGGGAAATTATTGAGCAGCTGCAAGAATTGGTGGCTCCTCCAGAAGTGCTCAGCTCCATGAGTAAGTAAGCAAGTAATCTGTGAGTCTGCCCACTTATGTCCTGTACTTTTCATACAAATTGTAATACAAGAAACTTCTATGGATTTGTTACAAACACATCATACATATCCAGATAATGACAGAGCACTCTGAAGAAGTTTGCAACACTTTAATCAACATCGTTTTGCAGGCAAAAGTTTCATACTGTGCTTTTAGTCTTCTCAGTAACTGTGCCTCACAAAGTACAATTCCCATACCCATTCAGAGTGAAAGTACTTGCTGATCGAGGTAACTAATGACTCACCTTCCAGTGAATGTAATGTTGCTGTATTATATTTACTGCCCATTCCACCTGTTTTCGATGCCTAAGAATACGATACTCTTCTCTTGCCTAAAACATAATAAACATATTGATAGTACCATCAATATAACCTTAACATTTAGCATATGAATCATAAATACTGGAATAATTAAGTGATATTCCATCACAAGCCAGAAATAATCTGTACAATATATAAATAATAATATATTACGTATGTAAAATGTTAGGAAATCAGATTACAAATTAGAATAAGAAGAATGATATCCATTTTCAGACAAAATATATGCTTGAAAATTAAACTACTATTTTTCAGTACAAATACAAATTTGTGTATGAAGCAGTGTGGATGTATACATTATATTTAGACCTGGTTATTTACATTTCTAATCACAGCTTCAATCTGACTTATGGATCATCAATATTTTCCTAAAAACAGCCTAGACTTTTACAGTCAATGATGTAATTATGAAACCAAAAAATTCTAGTAATAATATTTTAAGCTGTGTCTAAACGTGCATTACCAGAAAAGGTATAACAATACAGTATTTTGTCCTGCTTTTCATTTCAGCCCTTATCAGTCATTTTTACATTAATATTATTTGCATATATGTCACATCAGTGCCTTAAAATTGCAGTTAGACACAAAAGTGCAGGGAGAGTGCTATAAATTTAAGGACTTGATTATTTTGCATTGTTCCACTTGGAATGAAATGATCACACCTGGCACATTTCATGCTGCACCAATCAAACATGTTGCAAGTAAATGTGCAGCAGTATAATGCTGTGCCATGAAGGTTCTCATCACTGAAGGAGTTTCCAGAGATGAAGTTCATGAACACTTATCCACAGTATTGAAGAATACTTTGTCATGTTCCAGGGTATTTGCCTGGTGTGTATATTTACAGGAAGGTCAAATGTCCATTAGTATTATGTCTGAACTGGAGCACTGTTTACTAATGTCACTAATGCAAGTATCTGCCATATCAAGACCTGCATCCTGTCAGACAGGAATATTTAACATATCTCAGGAAAAATCACTCATAAATATCTTGGTATTTTGTAACTCATTTAACAGCATTGTCAATAACTCACATTTTAAGTGATTGCATCATACTGAGTAAATTCAATTTTTGACATTTTGGACATTATCCATCACCCTGAGTAAGCTTTTACCTGAGGACAAAGACACAGTCCAGTATCTGAAACCTTATTATTAAATAAAAAACACAATGCTGGATAATGTCCAAAAAGTCAATAATTGTATTACTATACTATTGACACAAAACTTTTCAAATAATGAATTGGTGGAGATATAGAAGAAAGCAGTCATTTCCTAATTCAAGGCATATCCTAGAATCTGTCCAAAGTGACTAATGAAAATCACAAAAAAAAAAAAAAAACTCAGCCAGAATACTTGGTATTCTGACCAAGATTCAAACCAGGTACCTTCCAAATTCAAGCCACAAAAGTTACAATTTCAGCCTACTTGCTCAGTAACTACTTTGAGTTCATGAAATGTCCACCAGATGGACACTATAATAACTAAACATGGACTATAAAAACTGTCAAAAGTCATATGTACACACATCTACATCATTGTCAAGAAGAGGTAAATAAAGGCTGGGATGGTGTGACATATGCTGGGCTCACCACTGGATCCTAGAAAGCAAGACAGCATTGCAACAATGGAAAAACACAAGTTCATCTACATGAAAGAAATTCAAGAGTGAACCTTCTGCTTAATTGCAACATGTACAGTATCTGGGACACCACCAAAGTCATTCACATTAAATTCCTGCCAACTGAAACACCAGTGACTACCGCATATTGCTTGCTGTACATTGTGCGTTCAAGTTCTAAGGTCTCCGATTTTTTTTCTCACACAATAATCATACAAAAAATTTGAAACTTCTGTCACTTTTCAACGTAATCTCCCTGCAGCCGTACACATTTTTCACAACGTCGACGCCATGATTCCATGGCCGCTGCGAACGCTTCTGTAGGAGTCTGTTTTGACCACTGGAAAATTGCTGATGCAATAGCGGATTGAAAAACGGCATCCATGTCTCATCCATTGTCACAGTTGATGAAAAGAAAGTCCCATTCATGCCTTCATCATTGCCATGCGTGCAGCCTTGTGGTCATCCGCCAAAATTCGTGGAACCCACCTGGAGGACACTTTCCGCATTCGCAGGTCTTCATGCAGGATTTTGTGCACAGATCCCACGGAAATGCCAACTTTGGGGGCGATGTTTTCCACACTCAATCGGCGATCCTCCAAAACAACTTTCTCAACTCGCTCGACCATGTTGTCAGACCGGCTGGTGCGAGGCCGAGATTGTTTTGGTTCGTTGTCACACGACGTTCGGCCTTCTTTGAATTGTCGCGCCCACGAACGCACATTTTTCACATTGATGACACCATCACCACATGTCTCACTCAACTGGCGATGAATTTCAATGGGTGTCGCACCACGCAAGTGGAGAAAACGAATGATTACTCGCTGTTCTTGTAACGAAAACGTGGCCATTTTAAGTATCAAAAACACTCCTCACACTCGCTGCTACCACTAGAGTTCTGCCATCTCTGTCACGCATTCACAAAGAGTGCACATGTATTTTAAACAAAACCGCATGTGTCTATCTGCTCCCAATCCTGAGAAAAAAAATCGGAGACCTTAGAACTTGAACGCCCCTCGTAATACTGACACTGAAAGTGACAGTAGATTTTCATTATTACTACAGTTAAAACATCTAACAATGTTGCTACATGGGTTGTAGTGATGTTATCATATAAGAATAAGTCTTTAAGAAATCAGAGAGAAATCCCCAATTCAACATTTCTTTTGGAGACAAGGCATTTGTTGACAAACTGATGATATTTAATGCTGATATAATTTAGCTGAAACAAAGAAACTGATCACAAAGCACGGGAGAAATATAAATAAAATAAGTAAAATGGGGACTTCATTGTACAGCGAAGAATGAAATAAAAACTTCAATATCCAAATTACCTCTTTGCCTTTTCTTATGTGTCGATTATGAATGTGTCTAATCTTTACATGAAACAGACCATGTACAAAACAAAATATAGTATATTTCACACAGAATTCTGAATTACCAGCAAGTAATGAAAATTAATAGTTGTGTGATATGTACTTTGTGGCAGTAGTATGGTCATATCTAACTATGGAATTTAATAATTATAGAAAATTTCAACTGCATAATATATAATCAGCAATCCTGCTGCTATAACAAAAGTAAAATATTGAGAGGTGTGTATTTACAGCAATGCACAATCCATGTTCAAATATTTCAAAGTCTACTGGCTGCAAAGGCAGAAGGGAAATTATCACAAGTTCACTACTCAGAGTACATACCACTCTGTACAGACACCATAAGTGTCCTCTTCTTTTGAAGTGGATGCCAATTTGACATTCCTAGGTAGTCAAACAATTAAGCAGTTGCCTCAGTTATTGTTCTTAGCATTATGTCATCATATGCCAACTTCAAAACATGAAATCATTAAAGAAAACAATTTATTTTCTGTGATGAATTACTTTAAGTCTCTAAAACTGAACATAATTAACTAGATTTCTTAAACAAATAGATTAATTTATAGTCAACAACTACCATCAAATTTCAAAACATTCAGATATTACGAGGGTCGTACTGAAAGTCATGAGCAACAATTATTTGTAAAGTAACATGCTTTATTATTGACAAACCAAATACACCACCTCAATCTACAGACCTTTCTTTATTTTTCCACATAATCGCCACTTCTTTGTACACATTTCTCCCAGCGTTCTGGGAGTTTGAAAATTCCCCTTCTGTAAAATTCTGTTCCAGCCATCCAAAGACACTGACATACTGCTTTCTGAATTGCCTCCCTTGTCTCAAAACGTTGTCCATGTAGCTAATCCTTCACAAATCTGAAAAGATGGTAGTCAGAGGGTGCCAGATCAGGGCTATAGGAGGGGTGTGGAAGAACTTCCCACCCCATCTTTGCAATCGCTTCCAATGTAAGGCAAGCGGCGTGGGGGCCAGTGTTGTCATGCAGGATGATGATGTTCCATCCCGGAAGTTTATTGCGCAATACACGATGGAGCTTGTGCAACGTCTGGACATAAAGAGCAGCATTGATGGTTTGCCCAGGTTCCTGGAATTTGACCAGAATAAACCCTTCTGCATCCCAGAAGACTATGCCCATCACCTTCGCAGCTGATGGCACTGTCTTTGCCTTCTTTTTTGATGGAGAATGCAAATGGTGCCATTCCATACTCTGCCATTTCCTTTCAGGCTCAAAATGGTGAAACCAGCTTTCGTCACCTGTCACAATACAGAGCAAAAAATCATCGCCTTCGTGTCGATATCTCTGCAGCAGTTCTGATGTGATGGCTTTTCGCTGACCTTTGTGGTCTTCGGTCAATAACCGCGGGACCCAACGAGCACAAACTTTCCTATAGCCCAAGCTTTCAATCATCTCCTGTACTGCACTGTGCCCTATTCCAAGTTTTCGGGCTATTGTGTCCACAGTCACACGCCTGTCATCTTGAATGATCTCATCCACTCTTTCCTTGTTGCGTTCAGTTGAGGCTGTTCGAGGACGACCGCTCCGAGGCTCATCTTCGATGCTGGTGTTCCCATCTTTAAAATGTTTCGCCCATCTTCGAACACTGCTTGCATCCATGCACACACTTCCACAAGCACGCTGAAGTCTCTGGTGAATTTCTGCAGCAGGGATTTCCTCTTTCACAAGAAATTCGATGACAGCACGCTGCCAAAACAACATATCGTTGACGACCATTTTGTTAGAAGTGATACTGGTCAAGTGATGCAAGCTACTGACGTCACAAGACACTCAAGGTTAACACAACAGCTGGTTCCACCTACCACCGTACTCTCTTTCGTCTGCTGTTCCCAGGTTGCATGCAAAAAAAGTTGCTCGTGACTTTCGGTACGACCTACGTGCTAGTCCTCAGTAATTCATATGAATATTAAACTTATCTAATTAGTAATCACAAAAACAAATTAATTTTAAAATATGAGACCAAATTTCAAACAACACAAATTTTGTAAGTTTTGAGGTTTTCACGGCGATGACTATGAAGAAAGTTGTCTTCTGGGATCTGGCGCCGTGTATTCTTGGTCTTGCAGCTACTGCTCTCTGTATTTGCAACGCAATTCAACTGCCTTGAAGATGGAGGCGATATGTTCCTCCGAAACGTCAGTTAAAATCAAGAATACACGGTGCCAGATCCCAGAAGACGACTTTCTTCAACACAAGTTTTGTTTAAAAGAAAAAAAAAAACAAGAAATAGTAATGAATAAATGACTAAATCAAACATAAACAAAAGAAAAAAAGAATTAAAATACTTCTCACAAAGTAATATAAGAAAATTTCGTTGATGATACTTTTTTGCAAAATTTGCATCAAAGTCTGTACTATATACTGTTTCAAGGCAGACAAATTACTGATGGTAAATCAAGGCACAACATCACCTGGAATCATATGACATATACTTTGATAAAGATACTACTCTTATCTGTACCAATGGCCTATGTCCACAGCACATATATTTATGGAACTATGGACATTAATAATAGTACTGTTAACATACCGAGAAGATATTGTTTTATACATTGATGCTAATAAACATTCTCCAAAAGGTTACAACCTTTAAATCCTTAAGAGCACCTATTAATGATTAAAATTATGTATACAGCCAAAACAAAATATAGCACCTTCTATATAACACCACCCTCACTTACAGCCAAGCATTAAATAATGTGTAATATAACATCATGTTACTATACTTTCACTTTCTTTCATGTACTGTACTGTACATACAGCTAAATTTCTTGCCTAGATTTTATCAGTGTGTAAGAAGAATATTTCAGTCTTTGAAAGTGTGTAAGAGAAGACTGGGTATTATAACTTATTTTATTCTCCCTTGGTATGGGAATCCAGCCTGAATTTGGATCCCCTAAAACCTATACAGTTTAAGGAACAGTATGTAATGCTGACCACAGCATATATGGTACTATATCATCTAAATGAGACTTTTAATGCTGCCCTGTACAAAGCCAAGGTATTAATAACCATGGAATACTGTTAAAAGTAGATTTCAATTTTGTTCTCTGTTTTTCTTTTGAGATTACTGAAATTTTGTTTCTTCTCAATCTGCAGAATTTTGAAATAATATAGTTATTTTGATTTATCACCACACTTGATATACCAACCCCATATACTGTGGGGAACAAACAGTGGTGCTATATTGGAGTTGAGCTGTAACTGTAAAGCTACACTTCTTGGAAAGATAAAAGCTTTGTTTTTACTTTTGTGCAACTACAGCTTTTTGACAAAGGGACTAGTGAGATGCGAGAAGCAAAAGGCTGAGAATAGCTGACACAGTGCACTTAAAAAATATATATTTGTTTCATAAGCATAGTATGTAATGCATGTGACTTCAGCTGTTTATTTACATTTCAAATACAATCTTCTTTGTATTTGTATTTATGAATATGAACCATAGATCATGGAAATGAAACAAACAAGAGTTACTTACTCTCCAACTTCTCCAAGCAGATGCAATGACAACTTGGCTGTTCTTCTTTAATAAGAATTCCTTCCTCTGTCTATGGCCACGCCATATTTTCTGCAGCAGCACTGCTAAATCTTCAAGCCGCTCTCTACGAAACTCCTCCAACTCAAACACCTAACAGTAACAAATTCTAATTTCAGGATAAATTTAGTGTTAATTAATTCTACAGTCTTATGTGCAACAATTTTATCAAAACTTGTTAAATGTTAGTCAATTTAAAAATTTGTTATGGTGTGTTTTGACCTAAGCAGTCATCATCAGGTGTTAACAAATGTGGGTGAAGAAACTGCTGTCTTTCTGCATTGATGTTTAGTTGTTGATGTATGGTTTCCAATTGCAGTTGAAAACAAGACAAGGTACATAACACAGCAAGAAGAATGCACATGCATGGGAGAGGGAAACCATAAATCAACAACTATGCATCAATGCAGAAAGGTAGCAGTTTCATTACCCACAATTGTGAATACCCAGTGATGACCGCTTAGGTCGAAATATGTACTAAACACTTTTAATAAGTTTCAATAAAATTGAAGCACATAGGACTGTAGAACTATTTAACACTAAGTGAAAAGTGCAACAGAATGCTACCATATAATATTATTCAGAATAAATGAGTATCTCTGCAAAAAAATACAGTCTTAACCTACTCCCACCAAATGAAATGCCTTGACTGTCCACTAAAATATACAGCTCAAACAGGAAGGACATTCAAAGCAAGATATGAAGAACACATACAAGTCACTAGAAATAACAATGGTAATTCTGAATATTGGTGGACAAAGTGGCACTAGGGTGGGTTTTCTCCGAGTATTTTGGTTTCCCCTGCCAATCTTCATTCCACCAAATTCTCCATCATCATGATCACCCTGGGCAGGCTACAATAGGTCAATCAGTGGCCGCTGTGCCGAGTGGACCCAGGTGGATTCCACCCCCCACTAAGCGAATTAACTTTAATTAATTCTGAATATTCTAACCCTCCCTCGTTGGTATCTCCACCCTATCGTGGTGAGGGGTTTTGAGTATGCCAAGGACCCTGAGAGCTATACCAGCGGTAGTGTAGCTACTGGCAGAGCCTCCCTTGCTGTACAGGTCAAAGGGTAGGCATCAGACAAAGAGAGAAACCAAAAACCAAAAACTGATGCCAGAAGCAGCGTTATCAGCAGCGACTTGAAGCACAGAGCAAATGATGCTCGAGATGGTTCAAGTTTGTATAGCAACAGGCGTGACCAGAGCGGTTTGAATGGCTGTTGTACTGCGATGTGGAAAGCAAATGGAAAAACTACCACATTATCCCTTTTCCTGGATAGTCTCTTTCCAAAAACAGAGATACCATGTATGCGAGATGTTTCCCCTGGTGACAAAACAATCCGGAAGTAAACTACTCCTACAATCGGATCTCCAGGGGGGGAAGTGTTTCTAGAGGAAATGTCATGCAGGCGTTACGATAAGAAAAAGTGCGAAGATCAGAAGGAACATCACGGCTACAAGATTGGAACATGGAATGTAAGGACCTTGAATCAAGCAGGCAAGCTGGAGAATTTGAGAATGGATGTTATGCCCCAAATGTACGAATGTAATATGGGGGGCATCAACATTATGTTTTGGATTGTTAAAAAGATTTTATGCTGACACAAGGTCAGTGTTTGTGAAACGCGGAAGGGAAAGAGCGCAAGGGAATGCCTTAGCTCAGCACAGCCGCACTGACAACGCAGAAGCAAGCGCTCATAAAGGTAAAACACTGGGAGAATTAGAAATGCTGAGTAGACAGAGGCTGGCAGAACGTGATTCGCCACCGTGAAAAGTAATGATCCAATGAGCACTAGCCACCCTTAGAAATAGCGTCAGAAAGGGGCGGGAGCTCACCCTCCCGGAAGTTGATGAGCCATCAATTTCAGGGTACAAAAGTATTGAAAGGGAAAATATTGGAGGCTAATCAAACCATCATTTCATGGAGTGTAGCTGGAGGCTATGTCCGTCATGGAAACGACAAGTGGTGGTTGGCGATTGTCTGCATCTCTGTCTCAAGTAAGTCGAACTACTCATATTAGCCATGAAATATAAGGTGATATTATTAAAGTGCAAACCCAGTGACTAAAGTGAGCAACAGAACAGGATAGGGTACCATGTGTCAGTACAGGGGGGGATAATGAGTATATGTGAACCTTGTGCTACTTGACAGCAGTCGGCATTAATTCCTGTATATATGTGTATGTATGTAGATACTAGACAAATAGAGTAGGATGGAAAAGTGGAGAACTTTATTGGTACAACCCGTTAGGCTCCTTCCCCTTACAGTTCCTGCATTACCCTATGTTTTATGGGAACTGTGAGCTCACAGCCAGGGAGCAACAACAGTCCGTACAGGAAGAATAAGACAGAGAAAAGGGCGAGGCTCCTGAGGGACAGGAGCCAACAGAGAGTAGACTACTGTGAACTACTGGTTTTTTTGGTAATTACTAAATACCACCCCTTACAGCAGAACAATTGGTGGCAGCGATAAGATTTATAAGGACAATAATTGTGTCACAATCGTTGTGGCACAGTAAGTGGTGACAGAGGTGGGATTAGCCAAAGAGAGATGGCTGACGTAGTGATTTAGTATTGCTTTTAACCACCCCTGTCATTACAGTATTACAGTGGTGGCAACGGTGGGATTAGCCAAAGAGAGAGGGCTGACGTAGTAATTTAGTTATTTTGTTTTAACCACCCCTGTCATCACAATATAACAACGGAAATGCAGAAGAATGAGGTGTCTGTTTAGGTGTCAGCAAAGTGTGGTGGATAGGACAAGGTGAAATAAGAAGTGGTGATTATACAGCATATTATTCTGGAGGTGAACGGGCTGAAAGAGGTGTAGCAATAGTGGTGCATAAAAGTGTAGTGAGGAGTGTTGTTAAGAAGATTGTTTGTAATGACAGAATTATTCCTCTGAAGTTAAAGGCGGAACCGGTAGATATACTGATTATGCAAGTGTACATGCCAATATCAGAGTATGAAGATGAAGAAGTAGAAAAACTATATGACACAATTGAAGAAATTCTTCAGGAAGATGGAAGAGGTGACACAAACAGCATCATATTGGGAGAGTGGAATAGCACTGTTGGAGATGAACCATATCAGAATATTGTTGGATCACATGGACTAGGAAGATGGAATCACAGGGGTCAAATGCTTATTGACTTTTGTGAACGAAACGGACTGACTGTTACCAACACTTGGTTCAAGAAGCCAAAGAGAAAACTTTACACATGGAAGGCACCTGGGGATTGGAGGCAGCATCAGCTGGACTACATCCTTGTGATTGATTCAGAAACAGTGTGAAGGATGTGAAGACGCTGCCTGGGGCAGATATTGACTCTGACCACAACTTACTGGTTGCCAAGTTTCGAACCAGGTTGAAGAAAATTATAAGATTCCAAAAGCGCAGACCTAGATGGGATTTGGAGAAGTTATATGCTCAAAGACAAAGGGTGCAATTGAAAGTGAAAGTGGAATTGCTGAAGTGCAGTGGAACAATATAAAAGAATGCATGTTAGATACTATTAGTGAATTGGTTGGTAAAGTTGAGAAGACAGCAAGAAAACCATGGGTTACACAGGAGATGATGAGTAAAATGGAGGAGCAAAGGAAATGGAAGAATGTAAATAATGAAGGAAGGCAGGAGGAAATACAGGAGACTGAGGAATAAACTGAAAAGAGCCATGGACAGGGCCAAAAAGGAATATCTTGAGAAGATATGTAATGAGATTATAGAATTTCAAAGAACACGATGTTATGATTTGATGTATATGCAGACAAAAGAACTAGGATGGAAAGAGAACCATGGGATTCAAAATATTGGCATCGAAGACTCCCAGGGGAATAGAATAGTAGATCAGAGACAAGTGCTGAAAATTTGGGAAAATTATATTACAGAACTATATGATCAACCTAATTGACCAGAAACCTTGGAAGTGGAGCCGGAAGAGGAAGTAGATGCAGATGAGAAAGGACCATATATTTTACAAAGTGAGGTGGAAAAAGCTATCAAGGACATGAGGAATGGAAAGGCTACAGGAGATGATGATGTACCTGGAGATGTGCTTAAGTTACTGGGAGAAGGTGATTTGAAAACACTGACAAAACTAATAAACACCATATATGAAACTGGGGAATGGCCCGAGGACTTTACGGAAGTGACAATGATTGCCTTAAAGAAAAAGACAAAAGCTACAAAATGCAGCGACCATCGCACAATAAGCCTTATTGCACATACAGCAAAGATAATAGCAAAGATACTTAAAAGAAGAATTGAAAGGAAAATAGAGGATGTACTTGGAGAAGATCAGTTTGGATTTAGAAGAGGAAAAGGAACCAGGGATGCAATTGGGATGATGAGAATTATAGCGGAACGAACTTTGGAGATAGATGAAGAACTGTGTGTTTGCTTCATAGACTGGCAGAAGGCATTTGACCGGGTAAACTGGACCAAATTAATGCAGATCCTGAAAGAAACAGGTATCGATTGGCATGAAAGAAGATTGATTAGCAAATTGTACATGGATCAGAAAGTTAGAGTACGACTGGACAGGGGGGAGACAGGAAGTGTGCAGATTGGAAGAGGAGTTCGACAAGGATGCTGTTTATCACCAATTCTGTTCAACTTGTACAGCGAATGCCTTACCAAGGAAGCTCTGGATGGGCTCGGTGACTTCAAAGTAGGAGGGCAAATTATTCAAACTGTGAAATATGCAGATGACCTTGTGTTAATGGCTAAGGAAGAAACTGTGCTACAGAGTGTGATTGATAAACTAATCGAAATTGGAAGGTGCTATGGCATGAAAATGAATGTGGAAAAAAACAAAAGTAATGAAAATTTCGAGACAACCAACCCTACTAACAATAAAGATAGACCAAAACAACTGGAGAACGTGAAATGTTTTAAACATTTGGGTAGCTTGTTAACAGATGATGGAAGGTGTACTTGTGAAATTAAATCTAGGATTGCCATGACAAAAGCTGCATTTAGCAAGAAGAAGAAGAATAGTTTTACCAGCAAATTGGACTTAAATTTGAGAAAGAAACTAGTGAAATGCTATATTTGGAGCATGGCTTTGTGGGGTGGCTGAAACTTGGACACTTAGGGCAGTAGATCAGAAACACCTGGAAAGCTTCGAAATGTGGTGCTGGAGAAGGATGGAGAAGCTCAGTTGGACCGATTATGTGAGAAATGAAGAAGTGTTATTTAGAGTCAGTGAGCAGAGGAATACCCTACACAAAATAAGAAAATGGAAGGCTAATTGGATTGGTCATATCTTATGCAGTAACTGCCTTCTAAAAGAAGTTATTGAAGGAAAGATAGAGGGGCAGATAGAAGTGACCAGAAGACGAGGAAGATGATGTAAGAAGATCCTGGATGACCTTGGGGACAGAAGAGGATGTTCTCATTTGAAGGAGAAAGCTCTAGATCACATTAAGTGGAGGAACTGTTTTGGAAGAGACTGTGGACCTGCTGTCTGACAGATTACTGATGAATGAATGAATTCTAACCATATACTAAACACAGGACACACATATGGAACCATTACTGATACCATGGACATGATAAAGTAAGGGAAACAAAGACAAACCAATTACACACATTAGAAAAATACTAAATAAATAAAATTAACAAAAACAACCTATGTATGAATGATCCATACATCGATATTATAACCCCATATTCAAAACACCATATAAACTATACACCAGAGACAGACACCGTTGCATCAGTTATGGAGTTTTCTAGGAGATCTTGACAGAAAACTTGAATATGCACTGCACTGCCCTGAAGTTTGTTCCCTTACTCTTGACAAATGATCGAAAGCAGTAGCACACAAACACGCGTCTTGAGCTATGAGAAAAGGCTGACAAAGACCCAACTTTTATTTCTAGGATCATAACAGGTGACGAAAGTTGGATTTATGGTTATGATCCAGAATCAAAATAACAATCATCGCAGTGGAAGAGCTCACAATCACCAAGAGCAAAAAAGCACAGCAGATCCAGAGTTCAACAAAGAGTATGCTCATTTTCTTTCGATGAGAAGGGGATTGTTCACTGTGAATTTGTTCCTCCTAACACTACCGTCAACTCTGACTTTCACTGTGACGTTTTGAAATGCCTGAATGTGCTATGAAAAAGAATGGAACTTTAGCGTAACCACAACTGGTTCCTTCATCATGACAATGCACCCACTCACATGTCCCTGAAAACTACAGCTTTTGTGACTGACTGCAACATGGTTATTGTTCCCCATCCTCCCTACTCACTGGACTTAGGTCCCTGTGATTTTGCTTTGCTTCCTGAATTGAAAATGAAACTGAGGCAACATTTTGAAACAGTGTCTGACATCCAAAGGGAATCACAAGCAGTACTCAACACCATTAAGGAAAATGACTTCCACAGAGATTCTGAAGCAAGGAAAAAATGATGGGATCACTGTATACATTCCTAAGGTGACTATTTTGAAGGAGATGGCAGCCAAAATCGAGTAAGTTAAGCCAGCATTTTTTTTTGTCTTGTATTGGAACTGCTCGATGGCACCTCATATCTGAAAACTCTTAAAATAATCTTTCATTTCATAATGTACATAAATGGATTGGTCAGTAAAGGAAATGTGTCTGCTTTTGAGTAATTGAGCATGTTTCCTTTATAAATTAAATCTAAAGAGTAGAGTCCTTCTTGACAATAGCCATTCAGTTATTCTTGAAATTCCCTGCCATTTATGCAAACCAAAGGTGTAAGTTTGTGTGCACTAGAGCACTCCAGTGGTCCCTATCTCAGCTAGACAAATCCATCCACACCCCATCTTCCTATTGCTGCATAATAAACGGAAGCATTATCCTCCCATCTATGTCTAGAATTTCCTAGAGGTCTCTTCCCTTCAGTTTTTTGACCAAAATTCTGTACACATCTCTAATATCTCCCATATGTGCTATATTTGCCACCACCTCATCCTTCTTAATTTGATCATCCTAATAATACTCAACAAAAAAATATAAATTATGAAGTCTCCTATTAAACAACTTTCTTCAGCCTGCCGTTACTTCTTCTCTTTTACATTCCGACACTGTCCTTAATACCCTGGTCTAAAACAATCTCATTGTATGTTTGTTCGATTTTTCCTCACTTTTAAAAACAAAGTTTCACAACCACATAAAACTACCCAGATAATATTGTAACGGATTTGCTCGAAGTGTTGCTAGGAAATGGTTTGGTAAACACGTTCCAATGCACAACAGTGGAAACTGTATCTCAGTGGATGAATGTTATAGCTCATTGCTAGGCAGCAGACAGTGCACCAATGGACTGGCAAGATAGAAATCACTTGAATTATGTTTTCTGTGTGGTCCATGTGAAGCTTATATATTGAGGATGTGTTGTAGCTGAATCCCATACGTATATGACTATATAACATAATTATACAGGAAACAAGTAGAAGTCATATAAAATCATGAAAATGAGAATGTTCACAACATCGGACAAGGCGAAGCCTGACACAGAAGGTATAAGAGGCTTAAACTTGGTAGTGGTCAGACATACAACCGTTCAAGTGACTAGACTGCCGTAGTGAATACTACTAGAAGTAGGGCACAATCTGCTCTACTGAGCCTGGATTGACAGACGCCTTGTATATATTGTACATAGAAATAGGAATTAAGGTTAAATTTGTAAATATATGTAAATACTGACAATGGACTTACTAATACAGACTATAACAGACCCAACCTCTCGTCAGAGAGGGCGCCCCAGATGGACAGGACAGTAACTGTCATGAGCCCCAGCTGGGGCTTGCAACCAAGACAGACAGACTGACTGACCATCAGTTGCAATGTGACTTGGACTTGGACTGAGATCAGAGTGCAGTGCAGTTGAGAGTACAAGGATGAGAATGGAGCATGTACTTAGTGAATTGTGAAGATTAGTTGAGTACAGATTAGGCCAGAGGAGTACAGAGTGATTGAAGACGAAATAATAAGAGGACTTTATACTGACTTTAAATGCCAGTTTCTGTGTTGAGATCTGTCACCAGGAGACAACTACTGAAAACGGAGAATCCCAGTGTGTGTGCAACGGTGAACTGAAAGTGTGTAGAATAGTGATAGTGAATAATTGAGTGTGATTAAGAGAACTTGTAACTGAAGTGCAAATAAACCCAATCATCTGATCTAGAAGAACCCATTATTTTTGTCACATATACCCCCATACACATGATAATATTATAGTTTTCANTGTCAGAAGTGGGATCAGTAACGCAAAACACGTTACAATATTATAGTTTTGTATATTTCAATCTTCACAATTTTTTTATATAGTAAATGGGAAGACAAAGATTCTGAAAGGAATGGTAGAAAGCATTCCCCAGATTTGATCTATTCATGAAGTCAATTCTAATTTGTTAGTGACACTCTGAAATATCTCGACTTTGCCACATTTTGAGAGGTTCATTAGCCATCTTTATATTATGATTCTGCCCTCCCTTCTTGGTGGTGAGATATAAACATACAATTTCTTTTAACTGTATTTGCTTCAAGACCATCCTCCATACTAGCATTTATCACAGCTTCCGTCTTCTTCTTTATGGTATTTACGTATATATTTGCTCAGTTAGTTAACAGTATTAGCATAGGCTAGAATATGATATGTCCCATTATATTTCACTCCCTCCTGGCTTCCTTGAACCCATCAAATGATTTCCTTCTGTCTGTACATATATCTGGGAGCACAACAATTTGGGAGCCCAACTATTTTTCACCATCAGTGTTTTATACAGCAATGACTAACAAATAAAATTCAAAGTGAAATAATAACAAGATTTTCAAGCACATTTAAATCATACAAAACAGCACTCTGATACGATACTACAAATGAGCTATACACTTGCTTTCATTACAGCATTTCTCATTTAGCTTGTTGTGGCCAAGCACGTTATACAGATCTGGAACTGAAAGACCACTGATCCACAGCCTCTGGAGGATCAAATTCCTATCCTGACATGTTACACATCATCAGGTCACTTAAACTTTCCTTATGTAATGATGATCTGAATTTATGTTTAACAGGAGCCATCAAATTAACCCTCTTTCACAACACAAGGCAACCAGGTACCTGCGAATTATAATGCCCTGCTCTTGGGTAACGGTACCTCAAACTCTGACTTACTGTTCTGGGACTTCTCACAAAGACCTTCGTCCTTCCAAAGGCAAATTCTCCACTTGGGATGGGTAGGTCCCTAATGAGGTAGGAAACACCTTCAACTGGAGGTCCTTGCCAATTAGGCCAGGTGTGCAGTGAAAGCATCTTGTAGCGTGAAAGGAACTGCTGGTATGGCAGTCGGTAACAGAACCCTGACCTCCGTACCCGTACCGTTTCAATCAGACTGTCCATCAAAGAAATAATGTCACTTCAGTGCCTCTTTGAACCATAAAATTAATAAGTATATGAATATGCTGAAATTATCTTTGATCAAAATCATGGTAAAATGAAATCTACTTTTCCTCTAGAAAACTTTGCATGTCAAGTAATTAGCAATAATACCCTATAATGTGTAAACTACAGTTAATTCAAGGACCAAAGTAAAACATATTAATATTACATTTGTACAAGGTACATTGGGNACGGTTTCATGATTCATATTTCTAAGAAATATGTTAAATATAAATAATTTAGCTAGTAAATAATTTGTAACTATATATCAAGCCAGTCAAACTCATATGATGTGTGGCCCCTGGTTACTTCTGATTATGCGCTGTAATACTGATTACTTACACGTGAATGTAAGCATGGAAATGTGTTTCAATGACATTCACATTTGTGCATGTGTGCTTGTGGGAAAACTGAAGGAACAAAAAATATATCTTCCATTTATGCTTGGAATTTGTAATGATTTTCTCCACCCATGTGANAATGGATAATTATTCAAATACACCATGTGAAATTTACAATATGAAATTTGATTTGTTTCATTCTGGTCCGTCACAATAACAATTACAAATTATAAATCACTCCGTCCAATGTGACCTGTAAGTTTTTTACTACATAAAAACTTAACACCCTTACATGTTTCGGTCTCTGTGGACCATCTTCAGAGGGTAAACATCACTACAAATAGGAAACCACTATCACATAATTTGTTTACACGCAAAGTACGTACACTTATATGTTACAGCACACAGTACACAGAATAGAACATTTCACAAACACAGCAGTTTCCTGGGAATGTAAGTTTTAAAAAAATTGTATAAAATTCCTTGATGCTAATTAAAAGTTTTTTAGATTGTCAATAATTAAAATTCGTAAACCATGCAGGCTTGTGTTCATCCTCCCATCATCTCCCTTATATGGGGCAGATATTGTGCCACCTGGCTATCTTGATGTGGAGGTTCTTTATATCGTCCAGGGTTTGCTCATGGCTGCTGTGCTGTTTTCACAGCAGCAATAAATGCACAGTACACAGATGAAGGCAGAAGTGATCATGGATATATTCAAAACGGTCACACATCTTCAAAAACTACAACAGTATTTACTATTTGCCTTTCGAAACAAGTAGTGGCTCTCTAGAGAACTATGAAGCATTCAATTTACAACATATGTATTTGGCATATCTAGAATAAAAAGATAATTTTTAATGGCTTATACTTTCAGTCAACCATTACTCTACATTATCTATCACTATGGTGCTAGCTAGCCTAGGCTACAAGTGACCTGGCCTGAATTACCCTAGGTACCTGACCTGACTTACCCTAGGTACCTGACCTGATGTTGCACCAGTGCCATCTCAAATATCCTTGGTTGCTTCAGCTCATTGGGTTTGATGCAACGAACATAATGTGGGTGTTTACAACTAAGGTTCCGAATGAGGGCACTTATTGAAATTTTGAATTGTGTTCCTGTTGTAGCAGGTCGCTTCAAACTTGACCGTTTCGGGTTTCCTGTAAGGTAGAATATCACTTCCATAATAAAGCCTATATATAGCAGCTCCACACAAAAATAGCCAACCTCCTTTTACCAGAGATTATATTAGAATATGTCCTACCTCCCCTCAGAAATCCAATCATAAACATACTAATACTTCAGTAAACTAACAGCTATAATTTTAACCCTTTTCACTGAAAGTCTAAAGACCATGCACAAAGAAAGTAAACCATTTTAAAGTAACAATATATTTTCTATTTTATATAATAAATAAAATGTGATTTCAGTAATGTATATATTTGAAATTCTCATCTGTGCAAAAATCATGGCCCTTAATATTGAAATTTCTATACAATGAATTCATAAAATAACTTCAGCATCAAATTTTATATTCAGCATTATAACATGAAATGGACAAAACTGTTTGATTCTGCCCACATTAGAAGCCACAGAAGTGAGACAGATGTACGATATGCATTAAATAATTTTAAGAATTTCCTAATTTGAATACAGTGGAGCACTCCATACATGAAAATACTGAGAAGCAGATTATTTCAAATACTAGGAAGTACAGGGGCCAGTAAAAATATTAAAGACAGAAAAATACATATGTAATGTATATAACAACATGCCAGAAAAAAAACAGTACATTAGATGTACACAGCCACCACCACTGGTCACACTCACTGGAAGACAAGTTGTGAATTGTGACAATGGTACAAGGTGTATCATTGTTTTTGGTCATGGCTGTGGTGGTAACTGTGATAGTTGGCGCTTTCTTGAACATATCCATTAGGCATTGTTATCTACTATGTTTTTTTTAGAGATAACAGGAGTTTCAGACAGTAGAATCATAGATATGGGATGTTCAACTGTACATTAAAATGCACTTTGAGAACAAGATAAAAATTTGCCATAGGAATATTTTCCAAACACAGAAAAATTTAATTTTTCTCAGTTACAGTTGATTCTTCAGCAGCAAATCCTCAATTATTTCCACTAGTGAAAATTCAAGAGGAAGTTTCTTCATTTGTTAATTAAATTTTCAAATTTCTTCAGTTAAATTCTGTAAAATTTTATTTGAAACAAGGAATAAAGTGGCTTAGATTTATCAAACAGTATGAGCTAGATTTAGATGTGGTATTCTAGGCTGTTACGCTGTATAGTATAGTAATGACCGCCTCTGTGGTCTAGTGGTCAGCATTCCTAGCTACTGATTGAGAGGTCCAGGTTCGATTCCCGGTGCTACCAGATTTTTTCAGAGAAGTAGTGGGTCTGGAACGGGGTCCAGTCAGCCTTGTGATGATAATTGAGGAGCTATTTTAAGGAAATAGCGGCTCCAGTCTAGAAAACCGAAATTAAAGGGCATGCGACACCCTCTATCCGCAAAAGTTGGCCGACAAGTGGCAGTCGCTCGGTCGGTATAGTTCGCTTGTGGACTAAAATCACAAAATTTATTTGTTTGTTTGTATACAGGTACATGCAGAAGCCTATTCTGAAGATGGAGACAGCAGGTTCCTCTGAAATGCTGGTAGCTATCTTATCAAATTATATAGTATCACAACCCAGTTGACCACAATCTAAATTTTCATCACCACTGTGGAAACATCAGATCTCAAAGAGACGAGCAAATTGTGGAAGTATGCACATAGCCTGTGGCAGTGTCTTAAAAACTTTTAAGCTGATGTTTGGAAGTAAACATTTTCATGCTAACTGTAATCAACAACAAACTTGTGAAAGATGACTGCACATTTTAAACTGGTGCATGTTCTGTATACCTTCCTTCCTTATGGAAAAAAGTAGGTTTATGAAATCAACAGGCTATCTGTGTGCATGTGTGTGTGTGTGTGTCCCACTATACTTCTGAACAAAGTAACTGATTTTCAAGAAATTAAGTATGGACATTAAGTCATTAGAGGCCAAACGAACTTCGTGACTTCTTAATTTGCTAAAACTGGTTACAACTGCCTGACAGACACAAATTTATGAGGTGGGAGTGACACTAGGACAATTTAATTTAGGATTTTGAATTTATGTATGCTAACAGACCTCTAAAAATAGGCAACTTTTGTTTAACTAGCTAACTATGCACAATTCCACGAATACACATGGGGAGAGGATGTATACTCATAGATCCATGTTTTTTTGACCTTGACACTAATTGGAGGAGAGTGGTCAGCTGCACACGTTGGCCACTTTACCCCCAGGGAAAGAGTTTTTGTTACCCATTGGATAGGAGGCTGGGTGGGCCCTAGGGTCAGTCTGGGTGATGTGGAGAAGAGAAAAGTCTGACCCTACAAGGACTCGAACTCTGACCCCTCTGTCATTCAACCCACAGCCAGTTGCTATACCAGCTATGTTATCCTGGCTCCTCAACTTTTGTGCAAGTAACATTCTTTGTTGAAAATAAAAAGATAAAAAGTATTGTGACATATTTGCGCTACGCAGGACACCCTCTCCAGCAGTGACATAACAGAATTGGAGCCACTGCCACCGCTGCGGTAACAGGCCAGTCAACACTCCATCCCCCTCTCCTGCGGTGACGTAACAGGGAACACCACGGTTACTACGAAGCAATAAACAACTCTCAGCAGCGTTCCCCAGCAACGCCTGTAAACACAGCGTTTACACAACAGTGGTAGCTATTACATAACTGATTTCTGTGTTGTCAGTGCGGAAGCTACATAACAGAAGAATTACCGGAGTAACCAGTCAGTTGCAGTCTAGCATTCGCCAGAGTGTCTCCAGCAGGAGAAGCAATTGCGACACTACCGATGGCAGTAATTGTGTAATTGTGAATTGTATAAGTGTAAGAGCGAGTGGAATAAATTCACTGTATCCAAGACTGCGTGAAGTTATTTGTTCCGTGACATATACCCAACATGTGACGATTTGGTGTCAGAATTGGTTTACAAACTTGAACACACCTCAACGAATAATCGAATTTATGAGTGCATCAACTATCAAGACTGCCACAAAATGAAATCACAGCAGATGTTGGAACTTCTGAAGGAGATAAGAGCCAACCAAGAAAAGGAGGAGGCCAACAGGAAGGCTGACAAGGAAGAAATGGAGACCGATAGAAAAGCCTGGCGAGAAAAGGCAGACGCCAATAGAAAAGCCTGGTGAGAAGAGATGGCCGCCTGGCGAGTAATGATTGCCATGGAAATGGAAGCAATCAAAGCAAGGACAAAAGCCATGTGAGAAAATATGGACACCAGCCACAAGGAGACAGTGGCCGAAAGCAAACCCAAAATGGACGTAAAGACAATGGCCTGCCAAGAGATGGAGGCACATCTAGAAGAAGAAGAGCAGACCTCGGTGGAAACAAAACCTGAGGTGGCACAAAAAGAATTAGTCCCCAAGGAAGATGCCGTTGTGCAACCGGTCAAAGGATGGAAGAGGCAGTACAGGGGCAAGAAAGAAGCTGCAGAGCGATGCAAGGAGCCAAAGGAACTGACCCCAGGAATTTGTGGATCCCGGAGGAAGTTGGTTGCCGCCTGCAGGAAGGTGTCCAGCCATGCAACAGTGGCACAACGTAGGAGAGATGCCTTCAAGAAAGAACGGAAGCAAAATCACGATGGGTGCCAGAAGAAATGTGTCACCGCTCCCGGAATAATGACCCGCCATGCAGGAGTGGCATGGCACAAGGGACACATCTTCGAGAATAACCACACTAGGAACAATGTTGCAAGAGGAGCCTTCAGAGGGTGGAGACTTCAGGTGGAACCAGAGGGCCGCATTGGAGTGAAGAATGAACAAAAAAGACGGCGGCTGTATCCTGGGAATGAGAGAACAGCCAGCCGAACCCTCAGGAAGACCCTAGGGCTGGATATCAGGCAATAAGCAGTAGATTTCCAGCAGATTGCAGAACATCAAAAACTTGACACTGTGGAGGGGTCTACCACCTCCGAAACAGAAAAGAAAACAAGGAAGAGAGGAGGAACCGGTAATGTAGACACACCGGCCTCCCCAGCATGAATGGAGAATGAAAGTGAGGAGTGAATGTGATACAACGCTGGACCATGAAATTTTTCGGGACGAACAATCTTAAGAAGGGAGCGGATGTAACAGCTGGAGAATAGTCGCTGCAAGAGGAGTAGCCGAAAAAAAAAACGAAAGAAGACGATGCAAGAACAGCCTTCAAAGAAAAGGAATGGGGATGTACCGTTAGGCTGTTCAGGATGAACAACCTTTAGAAGAGAGCAGTGTGACGTATTTTCACTATGCAGGACACCCCCCTCCAGCGGTGATGTAACAGAATCGGAGCCACTGCCACTGCTGTGGTAACAGGCCAGTCAACACTCCATCCCCCTCCCCCGCTGTGACGTAACAGGGAACACCGCGGTTGCTAGGAAGCAATAAACAACTGTCGGCAGCATTCCCCAGCAACACCTGTAAACACAGCGTTTATGCAACAGTGGTAGCTATCACGTAACTGTTTTATGTGTTGTCAGTGCGGAAACTACATAACAGAAGAACTACCAGATTAACCAGTCAGTTGCAGTCTAGCATTTGCTGGAGTGACTCCAGCAGGAGAAGTAACTGTGACACTGCCAATGGCAGTAATTGTGTAATTGTGAATTGTATAAGTGTAAGAGCGAGTGGAATAAATTCGCTATATCCAAGATGGCGTGAAGTTATTTGTCGCATGACCTACCCAACACATGACAGTATGTTGGATTATAAATTTACACTACTTAAACATGACAATAACACCACAAAATTTGTAGACTGAAAGTTTGTGCAATAGAAAAGTAGGCTTTATGAGGTCTGGCCAGAACTGATTGATATGTGTGGAGACAAGAATAATGAGTAATTCCAAAACAAGAATTATTTTATGATTGTACCTGACTTATTTTCCTACTGTTTATAAAATCTGCCATAACACAGGTAAATTTACATTATTTTCTAACAGTCCTACAAAAACACAGTGTTCCATTCAAACCTCCCACATTTTATTGGATCTTAGAAAAGAGAGTATGAATGGTAGGAAAGTGAAGCTACAGGAAATACA